CTCTGTCTATGGAACACAAGATCAAAGACACTTTCTTCCCCACCCTGGGCCACTTCCAAAACCCCTAAATCCATCAGCATATGAACACTATCGATTGTTCCAACAATATCACTCCACTCCACCGATACCATATGGATTTTGTAGGCCAACAGATCCTCCATTTTACAGATTTTCACATGTAGCTGGAATTAACAGAGATCAAAACTCTCATCTGATGGAAGAAACTACCTTGCTGTACCCAGCTTCTTTAAGCCCTTCCCAACAATACCCTCTAGGTTCACATAAAAAACAAGCAGATTATGAAAAAGAAATGACGTTATTGCATACTAAAGGTAACCCCAAGGATGACCAAAATGAAAGAGAGAATGCCAAAATGAGCCCTCTCGCGGGAAGCGCAGCAACAGGCTCCCCTGGCAGACCCAGCCCCACCAACTTCACTCAGACAAGCCACACGTGTGAGGGATTATTTGACCTCTCCAACAAGTCATCATCCACAACCCTGGGCAAGTATGACCAATCAGAAGAAAACTTCACAGCCTTCAGACCTGTGAGAAAAAGCACTGACCAACCGACTTCCCTTCAAGGTGTGCAGACACAGCAGGAGAGAGGAGATTCACCTAACAGGTAAAATACCAAAATCACTTTGTAAATTCTTACCAGGGACATGCAAAAACAGATGGGTACATTTCATGCAATGTCTCTTAAATACATTACATTTACAGCAGTGAGATCATACGTTCTACACTAACTGTGCAAAGCACAGCACAGCTACAGTGAGCACAGTACAGTTACAGTGAGCAGATCACTCATTCTCTTCAAATGTACCAGGAATTTCCAACATGTTTGTGTACTTCTGATGGGTTTGAATACCTCAGGGAATTATCTTTATTACAATGATGGGTATGGTGAAATGTACTTGGGGGATTTAAAGGAGAAACAACAGAATTGTCAGACTTATAGCTTAAAAGTCTAGATTTTTTCCTCTTCCTGCCCACTTYCTCAGCCTCAGTTTAAAAGAACAACTGATAGTGAATTCTCTTTTCTCCTTGTTTYTTTCAGCATCAATGTCACTGATGAAGACTCACATACACAGACTGASAGCCAGAACAACACGGGCTCACTGTCCAACACAGAAGACACAGGGATAGCTCCCCTCAACCTTTCAAAAAAGGCTGACACAAGCACAGGACCTATTCACGAGCCCATGTACAAAACCCCATCCAAAACAGAGAGGCAGAGCTTCCTGGAAATGCAGGACATGCCCCTGAACCTCTCAGTTAAGGATTCCTGTAACACAGTGAGCCTGAAAACATCCTTCCACAGCCCATCCCACGATAACGGTGCTGCTGCTTCTCCAAACAGCGAGGAGACCTCTGGAGCGGAGCCGTGTGTCCCCAAGAACCCCAGCAGCAGTGCCTGTGACAAATCCTTGGTGGCCCAGCGKGGTGAGGCACAGGAGCTGGGGCTCATGGAGAGCTGTGATGAGCAGAAGCAGACAGCAGCCGTGGCTCTGTGCCAGCTGGCCTCCTACAGCCCCAGCACCGCCCGGCTGGACAGCGACGGGCACGGCGCGCAGGACGGACCCGCTGCACCCGCAGAAACCCCTTGTGCTGCTTCTGATACTCAGGATACTCAGTGCAATCAAAAGGCCAAAGGACAAAAAAGGACAAACCAAAAAGAATCTGCAAAATCCCAGCAAGGCACCAAGAGGGTCAGGCCCAATGACTGCAGCAGAGTCTTCACCTTAAGGAAGAGAACGAGAGTGTCCTAATCTTCCTCTTTCKGATGAATTTCTGGTCACAGGAGCTGGTTACCAGCATCATCACAGAATTTCTACAAACCGTCTCTCATTGGGCTTGGCCCAAAACAAGATACATTCAATCTATCCATTGTAAATAATGTTCATAATTTTATATTAATATTTTTAAGCAATTGAACTTTGCCTTGTATAAGCTCAGGTTTTGATGAGTGCATTTTTGCATTCATTACTAAAGTGAAAGTAAATTAGATTAATCTTCAAGGGGTTTTTGCAATTGTATGATGTAAAATAAGTTTTACAACTTTTCTTAAATATGCTTAAGCTCTAGAAACAATACTGCTCAACAACATATTGTCACAGTCTTTTTTCAGGCTTAACTTCATCTAAATAGGGGGTTTTTTTGGTCTTTGTTTTGTTTGAAAACCTTTTTATTTCACTGTGCAGTAGTTTAAACAAACTTAAGATTAAAACTGACTTTTTAGAATATACTGTAAAAACTGCTCTGTGTATGGATGCACTTTGCCATTCTGCCCTAAGACAGAACAGACAAAACTCAGTTACTCAGAGGCAGATGCCACTTTAAATAAACTGACCTAAACCCTGTGTAAGCGACCTCTTCTCGCACTGACTCAGAACAAGATTCAAGTCAAACCAAAGCCTGCACAGGTTTAACAAATGCAGTTTATGTTCAACTTTAAGAAAGTCACTATGAAAACAACACTGAAAATATGAAGAACTAAGCACTAAGGTGCSTGCTTTGCTGGGGTTAGACAGACACTGGGCAGCCTTCAACCTCCAGGCCTAAAAGGTTATTTATATAATTTATTTCACCTGAGGCAAACTCTCCTGGTGAAGGTCTTGTTTCAGTACATGTGTATCACTTGCTTTCTGTGTCCTTCTACACACAGCCATGAACTATTTCCTACTTCTATATCTGTGTATATAAACTGGCAATTTTCCAAATAAATCTTGTGATCTGTACTTAAAATATATGGAAAGTCATTCATGAACACAAATACATTTACTACACTACCCATAAAACATATTTTGAAGAACAGTTAGCAAGAAATTGCTAGCTAAATTTTTGATTGGCAAGCAGAATTTTGGGACCAAATCAATTCCAAACAATTCCAAAAAAGGAGAGTTCTTCTGTGACAGAAATTCATTATGCAGATTAATTCATCTATGCTTTATCTCTAAAAAATGGAGCTCAGAATTCCCTCTGCCTTAAAGCTGCTGTCCAGCTTATCCAAACTGCTACAAAAGTTCAGCTAAAATAACGATCCCTGTGTAAATTTGCACAGCATGTACTGTCAGTGTAAGGAGAACAAACCCAGAACAAGTATTATTCACATAAAACCACAGGCATACATCACTCATTGATCATTACTCAGGTGAGGGACATTGTCACCCACTTGAACATCACCAGTAGGTGTAAACCTATTGAAGGAATTGGAGTTGCATCCAACACAATGCAGAATTCCCACATKTTTTTTCTCATGTTTTGTGCTGTGCTGCTTTGAGCCAACAACTCAGCCAGAGCATTGTAACAAGTTTAGCACTAAACAAGTAAATGGCAGACATTCAGTTTCTGAAGTAAGAAACAAAAAGAGATACACTGATCTTTTATTTAATCTTTCATAGAGTAAAGTTTTTACCAGATTATCAAAAGTCAAGAAAATCAAAGTTTGATAAAAGGCAATGMAGTAATAGAAAAAGCCCAATTAACTCAGATAACAACAGCAAGGCAGTAAGTCAGTGGGATGCATTGAACTGTGCATCAGTGCGTGATCAAATAAAGAGAAGGAGCTGCTTKCCAGTCCAAGTTTTAAGCTTCAATCTTAGAGACAGATGCTACTAAATCCCTAAATTCCAAACATGAAATTACAGTCATGTGTCACCGCTGCCACTTTTCACACTACCTCTTAAGCTATTTGCCTCACTCATCTCTGAAAGCAGAAAGCTTCAGTTACTCTTATCCACAATTTTCAAAAAAATCTCATGTATCTTGACTTGTTAATTTAAATTTCTTTAAAGTGAACWAGGAAAAACTTTTTGGTGTTTTTCCATACAATTCAAGGATTTATTCTCCCCTATCTCCATACAAATATTATTTATAAAAGCCAGCTCCAGTAGTGAAGCCTACCTAATCTCCCTTCTTCAAGTTAAATAAAAATCTATGGCATGAGATTATCCAGATTCCCTGACAGAGGTGTACAGTTTTGGTTTTGTCAGAACTGAAGTACAGATTTACCTCTGGAGGATTTCCCTATCATGATTCCCCATCTTAAACTGGAAAGTTTTTGACTGTTTCACCTTTATCATGCAAGGGCAAAAGTAATGAAAAAAGGGAAACCAACTRAAGGCTTGCTGCACAAACTTTCTCACATGCTACACATGCTACAATGGACATGAATTCTTTCCCAGGAGAGAGAGTATTAAACCGTATTTAATGCAACATTTTACAGCATATCTTCAAACTACAAAAGATTTGGCAACCCAACTTACTAGAATGAAACCCCAGCTTTGAAACATTTAAATTTACTGCTCAACTTCTCTGTTCAACACAGGAGCACCAGATGGGATCCAAAGAACCATCYAGAACAAGACATTGCTGTAAAAGCACCCAAGGGTGGATGTCTACTGCTACACTGTGCTTTTGTCATTCGCACTATGTAAAACATTGACTGAAATTACATTAATATCTCTGTAATTCAACATATACTGATAACTACAAAACACACAAAGAAACAATTCCTCTGTCCTGTTCTTTTTGTTCCATCATGCTATTTCAAAAACCCATTTAAAACATAAACAGTTCATGTATAAATGTATAAATTACATTAAACTGGCCTTTGAAATTTAACCATAAACAAACAGCAGAAGCTACTGGCTTTAAAGTGCAAGTTAGTCATCAATTATTTAATATACTCTGCTTAAATAATGACACTGACACAATATGGAGACATAYAGAATTATTTTATACAACTGTACAAAGAAACATGGGAGAAGAAAACCCCAAGAAATTAATTCCATTTTGGAAAGAAAYATTTATTAAGTATAAAAAAGGCACACCCAAGCCAATGTTTTTGACAGAAGTACTTAAACATCCCCATGGGCGAATGTTTTACTGTTGAACTCAGTACTTCAGTCATCAGTCAGCACATACACATCAGCAAATCCCAGATTATTGCTGCACAATTGATCTCTAACAATATAAATTGTTATTTCACAAACTTACATTCAGYAACTCCAACTCACCATCTGAAATTCGGGAAGGGAGCAGCAATCCTCTCCTGCCCAGCTCAGCCAGGGCCAGGCACCCACCATGCCAMGCGTTGTCTGTTTCCTGGAAACTAATGTTAGAACAAGAAGCTTTGTTAAAACTGGCCTTCCCTCTCAAGATTTTATTTTTTATGGTGAATTCCTAACATTTAAAAAGACCCCTAATCCAAACCAGCATGTTCTTATTGTATGACTGATCCAACTGGACTTGTAAAATAGAAAAATGACAAGTTGAACATGTTTTCCTTCCCATTTTGCAACATACATGCTGCAATAAATGTGATAAAATAAGCAAAAAAAAATATTACTATAAATGTAACCTCAATACAGAAGATTCAATACCTGAAATTCATACAGGGAAAAGGGAAACAAGTTCCTAGTACATGGCAAGATATGCAGRTTTACAGAACATACCCAAAGTAACTAATGAGTTTACTGCCAAAGAACCCCTTAACTTGCAAAAGTGGTTCAAGTGACAATTCCCAGCAAACCCATTACAAAAGTCTATGAAGYGAGCAAATAGTGGTTTTTATCCAGCCTTAGAAAACATAAACCAGAGAAACTTGCAGTGAACASAGCAAAAAGACCTCAAAATGGTAAATGGTTTTTGGTGGGCTGGCAGATAATGGAGTGAAAAGAGGAAAGGTGGCATGCTGCAGGATTAAATCTGAACAGGGTTCATTTTGTGTTACACCAGGAATAGAAGTCTGAGAATAAAACCCTGGACAGCCAGGCTAGGTCATGTCAAAAGCTTCATCTCTCCCAAGACCATCTCTGACATGGACCAAGAGCAGCTGCTCAGCCAAAGAAAAGCTGAGGGGCCATTCCCTTATTGCTCTCCTGCCTTTGGCAATCGGCAGCATAGACTGCTCAACAAGAGGTTGGAGCCAGATTAATTATTTAATAACCTCTGAAGGGACTCTCTTCCATTAATTTGTATAATCCCTTTCTGAACTCCCTTTACACTTTTGGCTCCCATAACMTCCCACGGCAATGACTTCCACTGGTTAATTATAATTGTGTGAAAAGGCGCTTCCTGATGCTTCCCTGCTCTTGCACACTGCGAGAGTGAATTGTAAACAACCACTCGCTTTCCCTCCTTCTGTCCCATTTAATGGAGATACAAATCACATCCCTCCACTTTTGCTTTCCATTCCATTGGCTTTGTAAAAAGCCCCATCAGTTAAACCACTTTTCAGTGATTYGGTTTTATCTCTTTCTTYCYGAATAATTTCCAACATTATGTTTGTCTTGTTTTTCCTGCCAGCTGCTGAGCACTCCACTGACACACTCTGACAGATCAGTGGCTTCCAGGTGTTTGACAGTGAGCAGCATTTTACCCCAAGTACATCAGTTTGAATGTATCACACGTTATATTTCATGTGACATTTACTGTCATATTACTTCACTTGAGCTCCTGTAACATTTTTCATTCTGTCACTTTTAGCTCTCACTACATTAAATCAGCTTTAAATATCAGTTGGTTTCCTCAGCTCCTCCTTCCCCTTTTTTTCCAGAATTCTTTACGTGTATGTTGAACAATACAGGGTTCATACCCCAGCAGAACTGTGCTGACAATCTCACTACACTGTGAAAAATCATCACTTACTTCTTCCCTGACTCTTGTCTTTTAATCTATCTACACATAACAAATCCCTTCTTCTCATCCCAAGAGATATTACAGAGTGCCTCTGATGARCAGCTGGTTTATTCCTATTTTGGTCACTGGATATTTAGTGCAAAGAACCCAGCAGAGGTTCTCTCTGTCCTTGCCTACATTTGTTCCCAGSTGCTTCTGAAGAAAGCAGGTCACTCAATTACTTATTGAATTACTCACCGCTATGACTTGAAAAACAAGGAAAGAAAACACAGTGAGTACAGGTCTTTGAAGCTCCAGGGATAATTGAGATCAGCAGCACCTCTTAAATTAATCACAGTAACACAGTGGAAGGATCATCTAAGTGGATACTTTCCTTGCAAGTTTTTCAGACTTTATACCTTCTTTTTTTTTTTTTTTTTATTTTTTTTCCCTTTGGAGTTGTCTTTTTTTTTTTTTTTTTAATGTGTTACCCTTTGAGCTGGCATGCTTAATTTGTATTCGCAACTAATGTGAAAAGACTTTTCAAAACTGAGGACATCTGAGTGACAAACTGAACACTGACCACCATTTCTTGCCAATAGAGAAATTATTTTTGCTATTGGCTTGCTCTAAACCACTCATTTAGATTTTAGGTACTCAATGCAGCCCTGATGAGCAATTTGGTATTAAACAAAAGCACATGATATTTGTTTAATGATCTGGTCCTTTACATGCTCTAGGTGAATGCAAAGCCGTGACATCCAACACTCAGTGCACCAAAAGAATATCCCTCCAGCCCCAACTGGAGTTTCTGCCTGTCCCAAATCCCCTCTGACACAGCCAACAGCAAATGCCTTAGCTAGAGTCAAAGACCCAGCAACACACTACAAAACACTTCCAAACTCTGGCAGATCATGGACAAGTTTGCAAACAAAAAGTACCCTTTTTGTTCAGGTAAATACTYTCAGTATCCACAAGRTCCTGTGGCAAGAARATTTTACAGTTTAACTGTGTAAATAACACCACTCTGACTTTATTCCAAACCTGCCACCTGATCCTTGAGTAACATAAAATCTTAAGGGCAGCCATATCCACACCATTCCCAAGTTCATAAACCTCTATTATATCCAGTTTATTCCTCACTGTCCCTACATGTTTCAGCCTCCCCTTACACAGAGATAGGTTACTACCTTCAGTAATCCTCAGAACATCATTTCCAGTTCTACTGGATTTCTGAGGATGGACACTAAACTCAGACATGACTCTTAAGCACACCAGGATTCTCTAAAGCAGAAAGTTAATGAGCATTTTTTTATCTTTCCTGAGTTCACCTTCAGTCCTTGCACTTTACTGTATGGGGTCAAGAGGATGGATTAGAAATAATTTCATTATTGAGCACCCTTGGCCAATCTGTGCCTTCAAAGATTTTGAAATGTGGGAGAAGGACAGCAAGAAAATTTACAGATTTTTTTTGCCTTTCTTCCTAACTATTGTCCCCCTGTTCCAAAAGCGAACACGTTTCAGATGTACGTAAAATGTGAAATAAGGTTTTTACCTAAAACAGTCCAACAGAGACCCAATCACGTCATCTGCTAATTCTTTTGGAAGTCTTCCAGTTATTCTACCAATTCTAAAGAATTTAAAAGAAAAAAAAAAAAAGAAGCATAGCATGAATCATGAGTACTAAAGCTGATTGGTAAGTCGTAGAAAAATAATTAATTACAGGAATCTTTCTGTAACACAACTGACTTCAAGATGCCGCCCCACTTTTCTAAGACCAATACCCTGAAATAACAGTCTCAAACTTCAAAAATCTACACAGCAGTGAACATTCCACAGAAATSCAATTTTAAAGAGAAAAAAAAACTTTTTGAAGAAACATTTCTTTGCACCCTTCAAATCTTGACCTACACAGAATGTCTATTTCCAAACCCACCTGAAATTCCCTGAACACYGGTTGGATTTTTCATCAGAAAAAGACACCAATGTGTCTGTGCACCCACCACAGGCTCTGCTAAAGCCATCTGCAGTAACAGTAAATATTGGCAATACACCCAAATTATCAATCATGGATTACACCACTGTGTTTCTATATTGTGTACTTCAGCTTAGCAGATAACCATAACAGACCTACCCTTTGGCTGCAGACCACCTGACGATGGTGTCTTTGTCTTTCAGGCCAATCAACAATTGCTCTGCAAATAATTTTATTTAAGCAAGTCAGATTATTCTTATTTAACAACAGGAAGATTTCCTAAGATGTTCAAAATTCATTTTCCTCTTAACAAAATTGCCTCTTGTACAAAAATCTTTGTATCTAATTTATTCTAKTCATCACACAAGTACAACTTGAAATTGAAAAACAAGGAATATGTCAAAATTGTTTATAAAAGAGACTGAAATTTTAAGTGCTGTAAAAGATTCAAAATGGAGGTATGGTGCTTTTTACAAAGGTACATTCAATTATTCAATTATAAGTATTCTATAATTTTTGCCTACTTATTTATAGAATATCCATCAGCCAGAGGAGGACATGCTGTACAACTGCACATGAAGAAAAAAATGCTGCTTCTTTGATACCACCACAATCTAAAAATCAAACTATAATTCTTTAGCTTCCATGTGACATAATTTTTGGTTGCRTATTACAATGTTAATTTTAATTCATCCTTACATGTGCAAAAGGTGCAAGGCATCTCTTTCATATTACTGAATAAAACTGGTAAAACACATTTCAGTACCTCCACGCCCAACTCCACAACAAATGTTCCAGTACTGAGCTTCTGCTTGAGATACTAAAATCCAAACCACTTGACAAAATACCATCTATTTTAATCAGTTCCACAGACTGAAGTTTTAGAGTCTTTCCAACTGTTCACACTAGCACAGATCCCCACATTATTTTTTTAGCCCCAAGCAGACTGTTTTCCCACGTATGTTTAATTCACAGCATTGTAACAATTTCTCTCCAGTTTTAACACACCTACAACATTTTCAATCTCTGCTGGAATGTCATATTCCTCATCATCATCAGCTTCATCAGCAGCAACTTCTCTCTTCTGGTTCTGCACAGCAGCACCCTGAGCTTGCAGGTTGGCAGCCAGAGATCGACAGCCACGCTGGTACCTGCACAACAAACACACACTTCATTGATTTTTCTGATTTGACTCCCAGTGCAAGAGGGACATACTGCCATGAAGTGTGTCTGTCACCTTCCTACACCTCCCAGGGTACAGCTCTCCAGTTATTTAGTGGCTGCTTTAACAGAAAGGAATATCCCATTCTCCTTCCTCCTGACCCAGTTGTCTATTTTCCAAGSTGAGAAGAGCCAGACTATTCAAATGGTTCCTTTTCATTATCCCTCCCTTTCCTGTTTCACTATAACCTATTTTCCACTGCTAACAACAAAGCAAGGTAAAAATTCCCATGCCCCAAAAGTCTCTCCCAAAACTTAAAAAAAATTAATAAAATCAGCTTATTAAAAATTGTTTTTTAAATCTCAAAGCCAGCTAGTATTTTCTGACCAAGCTGTACTCAGATATTTAGCCYGTGGTGTAGATGCATTCTTACAAAAGATAGACTTTACATGCTAAACTGACTTTTGCCATCGGGCAAGGTACATTCTCCACCTAAAAAGAATTTTCTATGCCTAAGGATGTTCTCAAAAGCTGGCAAAATAAATACAATAAAAATAGTCACCAAGGGAGCCTGCAATTTTAAAATATCAGTGCGAGAAATCTAAAAAAGAGTTTGCCCTCTGGCAGTACGTAAAACCAGACACCAAAACCTGACTAATATGCAAAACCAGAGCAGGATTGCAAACCACTTTTCCCCTGTGAACTTTCTATCGAATCAGGGTAGGACCAGGTAATGGAAAAAGTTATGTTCACTCTTACAAAATTCTACTAAATCAGCTTCAGGAACAAAGGCTGCCGTCTTCCCATGTTTAGTGAGTTATGCATTATATAGGAACASGCTTCTGCTTGTGAAATGTGCAAAGTCAGATTTGGCTTGTCCCAGCATTCATTTAGGTACCAAAATTGAAAAAAAAATATACAGAAAAGTAAATACAGTGGAAAAATCCTCCTTTTTCCAAATAATGCCAATGAAGAACATGTTCATTCCCACAGGGATTTCTTTTTTCTTTTAGGGAAGATTAAGAGGGCAGAAGACAAATGAATGGGTTCACGTATTTGCAGGGGGTTTTGTGCTTTTGAATTTTCYTTTTTTTTGAAGTTTTCAGCTTTAAACTGACCTCCACTTTGCTACCTTGGGTTTCACAAACGTCAGTCCAAGTCGCTGAACCAGTTTCATGCCCAGCTTGCGCAGCACCATCTGATTGCTTTCTGACAGCTTGCAGTTATCAAGACACTTGAGAACAGTAGCAGCTGTAAAAGAAAACAAATACACCAGAAAAAGTGCTTTTAAGAATATCATGGTATAGAAACTTTTAAGTTTTGAAGGTTCTTTAGGAGATTTCTACTTTTAAAGGTATTATTGAAATACAAATGCATGATTACCTACGTCGTAGTAAATGACATTGGTCAAATAAATGCAATATCCTTCACTGCCCAAATAGGGGAGATGCCTTTAAGGATTACTTTTGACTATGAAAATTATAATCTACATTCTCAAGAGTGTTTATGCCTCTGATTCTCACTGGGAGCAACACTTCCAACGTCTTTCAGGGTCCAAAAATTTTCAGTAATCTAACAGAACCAGAAGCTAGAAAATGTAATTTATTTACTCAGAAAATTTCCTGCACAGTGAGGAAGCTTTTCCTTTCCTCTTTTAGTATTTTCAGGCAGCACCAAATCCTGACACTGAAATTTTTACGATGATGGATGTCCATAACCATTTAGACATGAGAAACACTTTGTATGTGTAAACGATCAGCCACAAAACCTCTCATTTGGGCACATCAAAGCTAATGAAGTTATTTGTCCAGCAAGTAAAAAAACACAGAGAAAGGAGAATCCTGGGTTAATGAGTATAAGATCCAGAACTCAAAATTCTCACAAGGAAGTTATGCCTATTATAAATAAAAAAGCCCTTTTGCAGTTTCATCAGAGTAAAAATAATTCTTCAGAAGGTTGACCATCAGCTAATAGAGACTAATAACTCAGCTCTGAAAAGCCACCATGCTCCCAACAACACTGCACATATGGAATCACACCAGCCACATACTCTGCAACCTCTTCCGCCAGTCTCATATCAGGGTTTTCAAAATACAAAGAGATCAAAGAAAAGGCAATTATTTCAAAGTCTGAGAATTAAGTCTAAGGCATTACTTACAAATCTCCCCAGTTTTTTAAAAGGGTGGTGATGTATCTTGATGTACTAAAACACTAATGAAATTATCCATGCCAACAACAAGCTAGTGAATGACTATTATTACTTCAATATCTTCCAGCAACCTGGATTTTCACAGCTATAAAAGCCCAAGAGATTGACTGTTTAGAAGGAAGAGGCTGCACCAACATTATCATTCACAGACAGAAAATAAATTAAGAATATATAAATAAAGGCCTCTTCCAAGTCCTGGCAGCTCTTGAATCACTAAAATATCTACAGACCCATGTAAATTACTTCAGGGCTAGTGTTTGTTTTTAATTCAACTTCTATGTCACAGATTACTTCAAACAGGATCTTTCTTTGACATTTGCCTATTTTTTTTTCCTATTACATCCTCAGATCTGTTATAATTAAAAATCTTAGATATTTTTTGTCTCTCACATTTTCTCATCSTGAACAGTTTCCATCTGAATATCTGCTTCTCGGCTGTGAGCATTCTAGATTTTCTAGGCTAACTTTACTCATTGATATGCCCGTGATTTTTCTCCTAWTAACAGACTCATAAATACRTACTATTCTTTCTATGCCATGGGCTGAAGCATGTGATTTTAGCAGCAGCATTAATGCTGTGAGGTCAATATGCTCCTTCCATACTGTTTAAGACTATTGTGTTATATAGTTATATTTTCTGAATTCTGCAATTTTCTGTTATACTGTCATCTACCCCGCTGCCAGCTTCTCTGGCAGCTTCCCCAGTGCTTTCTGCTATTCCTGTGCAATGGCACTCCCAGTATTTGCTGTTTGTTCTTGACCAGATGTACAGCACCTGTGTCATTCCATGCCATTTGTCTTCACTATCTTATCTCCATCTTTTCTCATCTCTCAGGTATTTTCTAAGGAAGTGTCTGCATCTCAGCCTTAGGAACTGGGAGAATGAAACTTTCCAGCACCAGCACTAAAAAGCTTCTTCTCAGGGCCAAAGTAATTCTGTCAGTGTAACCACAAGCACTCTAAAGAGAGTTAATATCCCTGCTTGGTCCCTGTGAACAGCACAAACACCATTTCTGGTACTTGGATAAGCTCCACAAAACTGACAAGGTTTTTTGTAGTGTTTTGGAATTAGCCATCATCTTTCATTGCCTCCCTTTATTGCTATCAGTAAGGCCCAAGATCACACTGCAGTCAGATCTGATCATATTCCAAGGTTTACCACAAGACAAACAATTCCAAAATGCAGCTACACTATTCAGAAATCTCCATACTCTTTTTCTCTTTTTGGCTTCCTGTCTATCCCTAATTGCACCCAGTAWAATCTCACTAAAAAATTTATCTTATTCTAACATTATCCCAGCATGATTCCAGCTGTGTCCTATACACAGGCAGTTCTTAAAACCTGGGTTTTCTGAAATCCTGTGCTTATATTAGAACATGAGGAGTGTTCTGCAAAACTTCCAGGAGTAATWTGTACAAAACCAGTTTATGTCTATGAATTTCAAACAAATATTTTCCACATCTAACAGTGTATATGTTCTGTGTTCAGCTCCCGCATTACAGCAGGGGCCAGTGTGATCACCTGCCAAAYCCTCTGATGTGCTGTTCAACACAACATTCCCTGGTGGCATCTGCTCCTCCCTCACAGTCATTTCTACTTTTGCTCCCCTTATTCTCTCTGCTTTATCACTGCCCTGTGGATTTCACTCCCTACAGTATCACTTGTTACCAGGTTAATCTTCCTTTCCCTTTTCTATTGCCGTGGCTTGAACAAGTGGAATCCAGGCTATTACAAACTTACCATATGGTAAACAGTCTTCTCTCTTGCCATGTTTAAACAGCTGTGCCTACAATTAAAACAGTGAACACAGACATGAGAATACAGAGATTCTAAAACACAATGTATCAAGCATTTAGTTCTAAAATATTTTGAATGTTCTCACAATAATGTGTAGTGTTTGCTGATTTAAACAGCATAAAAGGAAGAGTCTCAGAGTGCAGTTCTTCTTGCTAAGTGCTCGGGGGACTGAGGTGGCCAAAAAATACTCAAGAGAAAATGGGAAAAAAAGCCAGAATAAAAAATTTTTTGGGCCAGCTAAGTCCCTGACCCATCAAGCTCAGTGCCAGGTCACAGGAACTCCGTGGYGCAACCACAGTTTGTGAGAGACTAAACCACCCACAGACACCTGCAAACACACCTCCACCAGGCCAACTGCAATTCCTGCGCTGAGGGAATTTTATCTACAACTAAATATCCCAGCAAGATTAAGCCCCAGTACTGCAGCAAGACAAAGGGACTATTAACACCTGACAGAACATGTTACACATTAAAAGCCTCCTCAGCTGCCCAGGCATCAAAACTACTCTGGTCAGGCACTTGTTCGTCCGTGCTCTGGCAGTCACCAGAAGAAAAATCTTCCTCAATAAATATGCCTGGGAGTTAAACAAGAACAGACTTACCCTAAAAAGAYGTACTTTCTCACACATACCAAACACACACACACATGCCTCCCGCGCTGCAGGCGTGGCTACAAGCAACACAGGAAAGAAAAACACCTCGGGGCTGTGTACCCAGCCTGTTTTGGTTTGTTACTAAATTGCATTTCAGGATCCCAAATTAGCACGGCTGTTCAGCTCCTCGACAAGCTATATATGGGAATTTGGTATTATATATCGAAGTATTGGTGATTTTAATGCAGACAAGAGTAAGGGCTCCCTTAAAAATGACATTTACAAAGCAGCAATGCAATAGAATGACTTCAGGCCCAGAAGAACAGCCAACAGAAAGAAATATTAACTTAAATGAATAAATGTGGCACAGCTTTTAGCAATATATCAAGTCAGTGTTAAAAAAACGTAAAAATTTCTCACTGACAAACAACAAAACTCTGCTTGTACTAAAAAGCCTTAAAAAAAGTCAGAAGACATACACATCTTTGCTGCAACAAATCTAGAGCGCCTCTAAAATTTCTCCACCTTTGTTGAAACATGCAGAAGCTCATTTCTTCATCACTTAGCTCCTGTGTTCTGCTTTAAAACCCATCATTGATCTCTCCACACACTTTGCTGCAGGTGCTGGAGACACAGCAGCATTCCTGCATCCTCACAGTTCCTTCTCCTTTCTGTCTAACTTAASAGCAAGCACTGTTTTAAAGGCATACACAGGCTGCCTCTAAACTATCAGTAATATTCAAGCATATTCAAACAAGCAGTGATAATGTAGAGAAACAGCTTTATAACAGATCCTTGGGAATGCTCCTGGACAAACACGTTCAGATGTGTGCTCTCACACTGCTGGGGAGGGGCAACACGATCCTCAAAACACCAACCCATTTTCAGTCTCCTGCAGTTCCTCAGCTCTGGCAACTTTCCACAAGCTTCTCTATGTGTTTTCACACTCTTGAGTCCAACTCATTTAAGTCCTGGCTCCTCAAAAACACCAGGACTGGAACATGCTACCTCTGAGATGTGGGAAGGAATCAACTAATACATGAGCAGACAATGAGAAAACTTCAAATATTGCACAGGATTTTTTTTTAATGCTTTTCCTCACACACCTATGAATCAGTTTAGAACAGCAACCTTGGCAAATTCCATTTCATAACCATTTCTATTATTTTATGATCAAAAAAGTTAAACACACATTGTCTTCCTACAGTAGTTTCCCTAAAACTTAAATAACAAACTATTTTCAAYACAGAACATCTACTCCTACTACAGGGATTTACAATATACTTTTTGTAATAAAGTCATCATAGTAACAGCTGTAAATCAAATGAGATGTGGATTAAGGGATTTTATTTTATTAATACAAGTTTTTAGGAGAAGTAAAAACTGCCCAAAGGACACACCATAGCTAATTAATAACTAAGTATTAATCTGAATTAATAACTAAACTTTTTTAAACTGGCCACGATTTCTACATGGCTTTTGATCAATAAAATATGTTACCCAGTGATTTTATAATAAACACAGCTGAAAATGTCAGATGTCTGAAAGGGAAGAAGGCTCTTTTTGAACTCATGGAGGTGCACTTGGGGGGAGATACAAGCTTGGTGCAGGTTCCTGGTGTTTCTAAAAGTGATACATCGGATATACTTCTGTGTGAGAGAAGTTTAACAGCCATTTTTAAAATAAATTTTATGGAAGTAAATAGGTAACAGCCAAACTGTGGAGAACTACTCTTCAGATATGCAATAAAGCCAAAAATCCAGTGTCTGGGKTTTTTTTCTGGGTGTAGAGAAGACAAGAAGACAAGTGCTCATTATTTATTTACAAGGCAAAGCATGCAAAAGCATCCCCAAGTCCAAATCTCTAAAACTTTTGAGTGTAATAGATATATTTTTCCCAAAGGAAATAAAAGAGCACTTTAAMCAATGCTGGRTTYGGGAAAACAGAAAAARTATTTTCTTCCAGCACATGCTACAAACAGACAGGCATGTACARCAAAGGTACTCCTTCAGAAAAACACTGTAAACCTGGAGCTTACARGGGTCATACTAAAAAGAAATGTCCGTGATGCATGAAAAACATGAAAAAAACAAGCAGTAAAAAGGACAAATCAGCATTACAGTACACAGCTTAAACTTCCTGCCTTGAAGGAAGAAAAACATCCAAGGCACACCATTTCCAAAAATCTGATACAAACAAAGTAATTAATAAGCTTGGTTTGCCACCTGCACAGGCATTTTGGTGTCAGCAGTGCTGAATGTAAGGAGCCTGCCTGTCGGAGCATCCCGGCAGTCGGAGTTACGCCACGGGCTCCTCACTTAACGAGGACACAAAGCACACACCAACCCACCCAACCTGCTCAACTGTTGAAAAGTATGTGACTCCCTCTCTTATAAATAATTAAGCCACCTACAAATTAGAGAAAATCAGTGGTGTGCAAGCAATGACGACTGTCAAGTCTGGTTCTGCTTTAGAAACAGCACAGGGCAAGGCAAACAAAGCCCAGTTTCTTAATAATCCCAGCAGAGACACCACACCTGCCAATTGTCTGCGTAACCCACTTGGGGCCCGACCTGCAGGAGATTTATCAGTCGGGATCATCTCCAGGACTTGTTCCCCAAGCTACACAAATCACCAGGAGAGGTGGCCTGGCTGTTGAGGAGTGAGTGGATCTTCCTGCCGAGCAGGAGACACAAGTCTGGATCTACCCTCTGGTTGCAACCAAGTGGAGAACTGGGAGGATAATTCCAGCCTCGCTGGGAAGAGCAGGAAATGATCCCTTGCACTGCTCTGGAGCACCCCCTGGTAGCCACACACCAGCCAGGGAAYGCCATCAGCCATCCCTGCCCTCCGGCCAGGTGCAAGGAGGGAGAATATGCTGTCAGAACCCAAGTTCACTTGGAAGTAGGGAATATTTAATGCATTCCATGTGCAGCTAATGGTAAAATGGGTTAGTTAAAGCCCTTGTTCTTACAGCGTCTCCACACAAGCAGCACTCCTGCTGTGGGCCGCACGTGTTTGGGCGTTGAGCATCAACACAACACGTACACTGACAGACATCAACACAGTGATGGCAGCTTGCATGTGATCCCAACTATTTATCAGCTGAACATCTGAAACATTTACACTAACACATGGAAAGCTGACAAAGTATCTCTTTTCCATCTTCAGATTACCAAATCCCACAGATTTTTAATACTCGGAAAAAAAATTTAGCAGCTTGAGATAGAATGTAGTACTATCTAGAAAAAGAAACAGCTTTATGATAACAACTTCTGAACCTTGAACGAACCACAAAACTTCTGATGAGAAGAAAYTCAGCAGTATCAGATAAGGCCACATTAGAACAAATACTCAGTGACAGAAAAGAAATGGYGTAAGCAGAAAAGAGTCAGTAACCTTGGTACCTGCAGACATAAGAACATTTGTACCTCTCACAAATACTGCTTTTTCTATACATTTATCACCAAATCACCAAGCAACAACCCTTTGTTTTAAAAAAAAAACCAATAGAAAATCCCAATATGGCCAATTCTTTGAGAATGCCAAAAATACAGAGACTTGGGAAATATTCTATTTGGAAATATTCTATTTTTGTGCCTCTGGGTCTGAAAGAATGGAGTTAGAGAGTTCTTTCTTCCCTGGAGCCAAATTTACATAAGCATGTAGCTATTGCTAAATAACCTTTGCATTAGAGACAGCTCAGGGAAATGCCTCGTTCTTAAGACTCTCGAGTTTCATCAGATCACTGTGTAGGGCGTTTTATTTTTTTTAATTATTACTCACACTTGTATACTGAATCACTTATAAAACAAATAAGGTTTAATAAGTTTCAATGCCCAAGGCTACCTCAACGTGATGACATCTCTGTCACGCAAGAACTGGGAGTGCTGCGCCCTGCAGCGATAACTAAAAAGCTGTTTGATATAATGGCAGGTTTAAAAGCAAACCTCCAGACCAAGAGAATTTAAAATGCAGATTCTTGAAACAGGTTACAAATTTCCTTCAAGTAAACAAATGTTACAAAAAGTAGCACTCTATTAATAACACAACATTTTTAATGCTTGAAATGTGCAAAGAACTCTAGTACTAAAGTGAACTAAATTCCATACTGCCACATAGGTTTCAACAAAAAAGAGCAGTTTGAAAGACTGAATTTGAAACAGTGTCAGCAGAGGTGCCTGCTGGTGCCCCCCAGCTGGGAAATGGTGTGTTACTGACGACAGGTGGAAGGGAACAGAAAGCCAAAGGCCCCAGTGGAATTACAATGTGCAATGCTGGATGCGTGTTCTGACAGGAGCCGCGGAACGGCCGGACTCGTTCTGCACAGAACGCTGAGTGAGATGAAACAGCAGCACACACCTGATCAGCCAGGCTCACGGCCACGAAAAGGCAGATCAAAGTGCAGCCATGGCCAACTACTCACTGCGTCCCTGACTTGCAGTTTCAGTTCATTGAAATGCAGGAGTTTCGTGTCTTTTCCAAGCAATTTTTCCATGCCAACCTCACTCGGAGCCATTCAGTAAATGCAGACCATAAGAGACACAGAATCATAACCAAACCAAAACCCACCCTGTTTGGGGCAGCCCCACTCTGCTCTGATGTGGACAGACTTTTTGCCCCCACTCTGGTGGGGTACATCATTCCCAGAACCTGTCACAATCCCAAAATACATCTTGCTGTACTGACCACAAACGGAAAATGGTCTTTTTTCTCCTGCTTGTTCAGAGAGATGACCAAGCAGCTGCAGTTTGAGTCTTAAAGTAACAAARTGCTGGAGAAATCCAAAGAATTCTGAAGCTTGTTGACAAAAGTTTTAGTTGTCCCTCATAAGAATGTGCTCTGCTTTACACGCTTAGTGRTTACTTGTTAAAATATATTGTCATTATTTATAAAATAAACATATTATATATGATATAAAGTTAGAATCTTGCATGTTTAAGAGAAGTATTTAYTATTTAAAAAAACTTATTTTCAGCTGATATTTTTGGTTTAAGAACATAGTGTTGCTATAAGTATGATACAAAATTCTTAATATTGAAATATTAAGAATACTTATATAAAAATATAATACTTGTAACATTTAACTATTGAAATAAATATTTCCTGCTCCCCTTAAACATCTACATACACACATCTGTGTGCACATGCCATTCTGAAAACCATTACTCCCTAAMAACACAATTCATGCTTACATTGTAGTGACTAAAATGAGAAATTGAAGACTAAATGGAAGAAAAAGCTTTACAAATCTGCTCATATCTACTAACTGGAACAGGAATTATGAGCTGTGAGGAAGAAAAAAAAAAAAAAACCTAGCCAAAAGCAAAGCAGCAGGCTCTGCTCCCAGGTCTATTGTATCACATTCTGGTTTCGATTCTACTTGTTGAGTATTCACCTGTTTCGCTTAGTGCGCACTAATGAACAGGTGGATGGAGCCAAAGCCAAACTCAAAGGAATTATGACAAAACACTAATGCATTATACATCCTGCAGGTCTCATCATGCCCCGGGAATGGCAAACAGTCAGTCTCCCTTTCCAGATCTGACAATAAAATGATGAAACATCATTCTGTCTTTTGAAACGCTGCAATGCACACAAATAATGCTTCCTCCTGCTTGAGCAGCAGGTCCTCAGTTATTCTAAATATAGATAATTTCTTCTGTCTTCTGATTTGAAAGAGCTCGAGAGGAAAAAGGAACAACAAAAAAACCCCACACCCCACACACTTGTTYCAGACCTTTGCTTTGATGTTTAGTACCACACTGCACACAAGTCCTCTTAGCGACTGGTTAAAAAGAGTAGCAAATTTATGCAAATTACCAAAACTTGTACAAACACCACCAAATCCTTAACCTGTGCAACTGCAAAGACTGCACAGAGCCTGTGATCTACCTTTCCTGCTCTACCTCGGCCTCAGTCAACAACCAAACCAAGAAGGAACAACAACTCCTCCACCCACACCAACGCCTCCATTCCGCCCAAATACATTCGGACATCAAAACTGGCACAGACACCAGAACTGTCACACCAGTATTTCAAAACACACGCCAACACTTTTAAGGGTGTAAAGCTACAATAATGCATTGATGAATAGGCCTTCTTAGGATGTACAAGAGGAGCATTACCCTGCAACAGGGGTTCAGGTACTGCAGATTTTTCCCCATGCATAGTATGTACATTTTAAAACTCAAATYAAGAATTCAGCTCTTTTGAGTCATATAACATTATTAATTCACAAGGAAAGGGCATTAAACAAAAAATTAATTCAGATTAGCAAACAAACCCAAACTTACTGAAATKACTCTATTTTGAGAGTTATTTATGAGTACCTGTACTGGCAACTTCAWTTTCATTTGGGGATGACAAGAATACTTAAAGAAAATACACATACATGGGAAGCTACATTGTCGAAACTGCTGTGGAGGAAATTCTCCTTCTTTCATTGCCAGGAAACCCTCTGTGCATTCACTATCAAAGGCCTCTTGTAGCAGTATAATATGGCCATAAACCAAACTGTCTAYCTTTTAAGGGAAAAAAAGTATTTACCAGGGCCTGTAGCATGCCGTTCACAATGACAGTGCCCTCCATGGTCTGGGAGGAGGATTTGGATAACATGGAGAGCACCCAGTCCAGGAAGTCTGCCATCCTGCTTTGCCTGACATCAGGGCGGACAATAAACCTGTACAGAAAAAGAAAACACTGCAGCCATTGACTTCATGACACCCAATGTGAAATCATTTTTCCTCCCATCCAAACTGGTTGTAGYTCCTGGAAACAATTCTTCAATGTATATTTCCCCAAATCACCAAGGGTGGGAACACTCCAAACCATTCTAGGTTTAGCCCATCTGTTTCTGAGCAAGGCTCTGACCTGGAATTTCGCTTTCACTTCAAACCCAGCTAAAAACTTGGGTTACAGAAAYTTGTTATCTTAATTGCAAAGCAACAAAGTTTCCAAATATTTTTAAGAAATTATTTCCATTAGAATCAGTGAAAAGCTGAAACAAAAGGATTCTTCACCTCTCTCACTGAGAAGAGCCATTCTGCAAATCTGAAAATAAGTGGAAATCAGGTTCCTTTTGTCTATCAGCAACCAGGCCCAGAACAAGCACCCAGCAGGGCTAGATTTGGGGTTTCATATATTTGAAAAGGTCAAATACCTGTTATTCAACACACTAGATGGATCAAGAGATGTGTTTTTAGCCATCTTAGAAAAGGGAAAAGAGGTTCATCAAGGCTAAACTAYCATAAACCTACTCTTAGTCCTCCCTGACCAGCCAAGCTGCAGCCAGGGCATCACCTCAGTGTCTTGGCACCYATAAACCAGGGTCCTATTCCAGCACTGATTCAGACTAAATTTGTTCTCAACACACCTACTGGAAACAAGACAGACAGGGAAGCCCACCCAGTACAACTCATGGAATTCAAAGAAGATGTGCCACTGGTGCCTTCCTMCACCTACAGGTAACTGGGGAACAGCATCAAGAGCTGACAGATTATTAAACATATTAAATACAGAGAACATGTCAACAGTGAGCAGACAGGATGGACTGGCTTCCCAGCCAGTCCCTGTGGTGTTCAGCAGCAGAACAATGAGGATTTGGGGTGAGTTGCAGGAGGGTTGTTTTGTGACAGAGCAGCCAAGGATGAAGCTGCCTTTGGCCCAAGGGCACACATGAGAGAAGTGACCTGTGAAGTGGATGAGCTGGTTCCTAGACCCTTTCTCAGCCTGAAGGAGTTTAAATCTTTCCTTCCCAAAGCAGTGCCCTAACCTCCAGACTAAGAGCAGGATAAGGATCAGCCTCATCTCCTCCTACTGCAAACACTCACTGAGCAGACAGAAAGGAGAATTCATGAAACAAACTCCTTTGCCCTATGAGAATCAGCTTCTTTGGAAAACAGGAAGTCTTGAATCCTGATGTATCTAAACTTCACTTGAAATTCTTTAACTCCTTGGAGCACAAACCAGGRTCCCAGACTTTCTCTTCCTCCCCAGGGACTTGCCCACAGCTGGTACAGTCCAACTCTTGTATCTTATCTCTCTGTCTGTGCCAGGACCGTTGTGCTCCTGCCCACCCAAGTAACAGTCCAGCTCCAGGAAGATGGCACAGCAACCTCATCTCATTGGCTTTGGGGATGTGAAAACAGGCAAAGGCCTTGGAGCCACCCTTCTAATTTCTGGCGAAGTATTTTGATCACCAGGCTGTTTTGAAAATGGTGTTTTCATAATAAACCAAATAATTGTAAGTAAGTGCACTACACAGTACCATTACAGCCTTGCACATCTGGTATTAGAATGAGCCTAATGTATTCTAAYACCATATTTGTTCTGAACACATACTCCTAATTAAAATTAATTTGGCCAATAAAGAGAAACAAACAGAAGATAAGACAATTAATAGGGTGCCTGCACAGGACCCAGTGTCAGGGTGCAGGGCACTGGTGAAATCCCCCTGAAACCCAGGGCTAAGCATGGCATGAGCACAAAGCTCTGCTRAACACAAGGTTGCAATCAATAAAGTTACTGTATATAAGCTTCCACTCAAAATTTAGTTTTACAGATGCTCTGGAGTACAGCTGAAGTGCAAATTCAATTAAGCATAATGTGATGAAAGAATCTTTTTATATTACTGTCACCCTTACTTAAGAAGGCTTCCAAATACTGGATACATCTTCAAGAATCTACTACTGTGGGTTAATTCGGTACTTTCTGGGATTTTAGGAAGTGAACAAGGCCTATGTGAGTGCTCAAGAATAATTCACTCTGTGTCACACTATCCTTTCAAATCCACTGGTTTTGTCACCCTGTGACAAGACAGATTACCCATACCCATACATAAAAAGCAATTTCTAATTACTGATTCCAAGATAACTGCAAAAACTRATTAGGATCATAGAATTATAGAATTATAGAATGATTTGGGTCAGAAAGGACCTTAAAGCTCATCCAGTTACATCCCCTGCCATGGGCAGGGACATCTTTCACTATCCCAGGTTGCTCCAAGCTCAGTCCAACCTGGTCTTGAACACTTCCAGGGATGGKGAAGCCACAGCTGCTCTGGACAACCTGTTCCAGGGCCTCACCAACCTCACATGGAGGGATACTGAGAAAAACCTACTTTCTGTTACATGGAAATAAGTATGTAACAGGCAAKATTATTTATTCAAGACTGTACATATAATTTATGCAGCCACTCGAATTTTGTTCTGATACGTTTCAGAATAAACCAGAAAAGCAGAGGATGAGTCAGCAGAGGACTGTAAGTCTGGTCTCAAGTCCTTCATGAATTTTTCTGCATGACACTCTAACTTCTCAAGCAAAAAAGTGTTTGATTTGCCATCAGATTCAGACCTATAGCATAGTACTCACTAAACAAAAAATTCTGAAATTCTGAGGCCTTGAGTCGGATAACTGAAGCTCAGAATAAATTTAAAATAAGTACACAGACATTTACTTCCTAAAAAGACCCGAGGTCTGCTCTACTAAATGTAGTTAACAACTATTTTGATGCAATTAATTCCATAAATTCTGTGCATTTTAACCCAGAGAATGTGAACACAGGTGTATGTTATGGCTGTGACTCGCCCACACGCACTGCCCCTATCCCCCCATGTGCCCGTGCCTCTGTATCCTGTTGTCCATGTGTCCCCGCACTCCACTGTGTCCCCTCATTAGTCTCAGTGTCCCCACACTCCCAGGTCCCCAGGTACTGCTGTCCCCACGCCCGGGCGTTCCCAGATCCCCTGCAGCGACAGCGCCAAAGCTGCGCTGGCAGCGCCCCCTGGTGAGCACAGGCTGCGGGAAGAGTCGGAGCTTACACTGCTTTAAAAAGAAAGGAAAAAGGKAAGAAAAACCAAATCAGTCACAACCTGAGCTGACTAAAGGCCTCTTCCATATGGGAAYGTGGAATGGGACAGATACTGAAGAAAAAGATATCTGTGTACTACTCCTGCTTATGATCTTTTAAATTTATTTTCATGAGCAAAGGAAACAGCATCCCAAACAATCACTACTGCACCCAATTCAAGCAAAAGCAATATCCCATAGACAGCTGGCAACTTGCAGCCCTCCCAACAATGTCATGTCAGACTAAGAAACAGCAGGAGGAATGGAAGCCAGCCTCTTCCTTTCTGCCAAGATGCACAAAAGTGACTTACTTGGACACCAGCACAGCAGCTGCATCCCGAGCCTTGTCACTGACAACCAGGTAACACTGAAGGGAAAAGAAAACTGACTGTAACAGAATTCATACATGGAGATAGAATATCAACTATGTAACAACTTTGCACATAATACATTACTACTGAATACTTGATGATTACACACATTATGTTGTTATCATGAATACAAATTGAGCGTAAGATAATAAAAAGTAAATTTTCCCATTTAACAAACTGAGGTAGTCCCCCACATATGCCTTTCAAAGTAAGTTTATAACTGAAGGTTTATTTATTGAAGCCTTAACTCACAGCCACATTGGCCTATAAGCAATAAGTCCCTGAGTGCTGCAAGTGTCAAAAACCTGAACTGCTGGAGACCTGGGAGAAGGGTGTGGGGTGGTTTATTTTTATCTCAAAGGCATGACAAGAGAGCCACCTGGGCTGACACACACTGGCACTTCATGTCTTTGTTGAAAATCGTCATGCAGTTACAGCTTCCAGAGTTGCTCACTCTGATCAAATGTTGACTTCCTCTAGAAATCCTCAAATTTGGCTTTCAGAAGAAGCTCTTCCACACCTTCAAATCATGAAAGCCTCTAACACATCCAAAGGCAGGGGTTCACCTCAGATAAAATAGTGTATTACATCAGGGGAAACAAGTTCCAGTCTCACCTGACTCTGAAGCAGCAAACAACAGACTGAATGCCCAAAAGTATGAAGAAATTCATTACAGATTAGACACAAAAATATGGGCATAAATAATATGCAGAAAATATCATTGAAGATACACAGAATATATGATTATTTATCACATATCGAAAGATTAAGCCCTTCCCAGGTCTGAAAGTATTATAGGATGTATTTTCCTTACCTTTGCTATTTCCAGTATGCGATCCATGGTTGGCTGCCGAGCCTGCCCTTCCATGGAAACAAGGTTTCCATCAAAACGGGCCAGATCAAAAGGAATCAGGCAGATCATGGACAGCCATAATAAGAGCATATAACGAGTTTCCCAAGTCTGGAAAGGAATAATAAAACAAAGGTTTTATACTCTATTTTCTGAAATATATTCCAACTAAGTGCCAAGGGCACAAACTACCCACTGGCTCCAACGAACTTTCAAAGACGATCAAGAGAAAACTCCATTCCTTTCCCAAATGAAAACTGCACCTTCCTATTTTCCTGTTTTTTCCTTCCCTCAGCCTATCACTGCCTCCATTTACACATATAACAGATGTTTTTTCTTATTTCTTATGTGTTGCTTTCATGGGTTTACTGAAACAACTTCAAGAAGATGGAAGTTTTTAAGCTTTAAAACTGTACACCTACAGCAGTGAAGTGTCAAAATCTATGTTTATTAAAAAGACATTTAAATTTAGAGCAGTAATAAAATTACTGTGTTCAAATCCATGATTTGTTACTTACAATAGATGATGATCTCATCTCTCTTAAAATTAATGTATCTTAAGAAGCTCTATGGAATTCTCCTTTTTCATTATTAAAAACATAAGAATACAAACTACAGTATCTTGGAGTCAGACGTTACTGCTTTTAGAGGTTCAATGCCTTGTACTGTTGTTACAATCAATTTGTTCCCTTACAYGAGTGGTTACAGGTTCTACTTGCACCACCACTGCCACTGTTTCTAAATTTTGRAACAAATCCCATGAAGGAGAACCAAGAACTCTCCTTTGGGAGGGTATTTCTCCTCTGACAAGACAATGGTTTCCACACCAAATCCCAATGTTAACACCAGATAGGGTCTGTCACTGATTTATATACTTTTTTTCCAAATTTTTTTCCTTCAGCTTTTTCCACTGGAGACATAGAAGTTAAACAGAAAGTAAAGCAAGTTCTCACATCAGGGTCTCTTGGGTTCTGCTTTGCAAGCATATCCAAAACAGGCTGCAGGTCCCGGACTTCATGAGGAAATAGAGGCAGGAAACGTTTGTACCCTCTCACCTAAACCAGAAATGTTCAGAATTAGTCACCCATCCAGCACCAGCACATACTGAGGGGAAAGATCCTTTAAGGAATTTCTTGATTAAGATCCTCATGTCATAAGGAGAATAAGGATGAGAATTAAGACCTCAAATACCTCGTGATGTTTGTGTTTTTACACATTTATTAAGAATTCATGAAATTATATTTTTTTTAACTTTAAAACAAGGGACCTCTGGAGATTGTCTAGTCCAACCCTCCTGGTAAAACAGGATCACCCCAGCAGCGTGTCCAGGACCATGTCTGTRGGGTGTCCTGTATCCCAGGGATGGAGACCTCTCTAAGGCACCTATTCCAGGGCTCAGGCCTTACAGCCCACAAATATTTCCTTGTAATCCTTGTAATCAAATGTAAATTCCACAATCCCTCTAATTGCTTATCACACTTTATTTTCAACATTGTAACTCATGYTTTATCACTCAGTATCTCCATGTATACAATGTGTTTTGCATTCTGACCTTGATTTTTACTAATCTGGATCATTAAATAACATAAGCCATGAGGAAATGAGAAACAAAAAAACTAATCTTGCACACTACAGTTTGAAATATTTAATCATATGAGACATTTATTTTAATTTTTTTTTTTAAATAACAAAGAAAATATTGGTAATTTTGAAATTTCAGTTACAGAACATTTAATTTAGGATTTTTTTTACCTTTGTAATGATGTAAAGAAACTTAAAAGCCAGATGAACTAGTGGGGGAGGAGATCCACTGTCCCGTATTATATCCAACAAGGAATTCATCATCCCCTCTAATGAAAGGAGAGGAAAAACAGTGAGACTACACAGAGTTCACACAGTTTCTTGCACTTCTGATASAACGGAGGGRGACAGSAWT